TGCCTGGGATGGAGGTTTATCTACCACATACTGATGTCAATGTGAACTCTGTCTGATAAAATAAGTGTCTTAAATGTTTCCACCCTCACTGCTTTGGCAAGCACTTCCAGATCTCAGCCTGGTTGTCTGGAGACAAAAGCAGAGAACTGGTGCCACATGGGTTCCTCCCTCCATCCTCAGTAGATCTGCTGTCCTGGGAGTGCTATGCTTTGGGTGTACAGGAATCCTCTACCCCCTCCTTGGGTGCAAGGCTAGCAAGAAAACAGTTGCCAAGCTGGAATGGAAGAGTCTGGCAAGGTCCCAATTTGTATGAATCACATCAGACCATTCCCAGAATGGTGGTATCAGAAGCAGATACAAGAGACCTACATTTTACCTGTTCCTAAATCAAGTTGTCTTTGATGCAGTCCATTATTAATCCTGGCTAAGGGACTGGGTGGGAAGAAGCATTGTAACTTGGAGGAAGAGAGCAGGGAGTCCTGCTGGGCCCAGATTTCCAAGCTGCATGCCAGCTACTATTACAAGTGCCTAAACATGCCTAAGCTCAAATCCAGATTTGCAAGATCACTTAGGTCCTGTTTAAGCACCAAAAACTAGAGACACCTTTCTACCTACACCCAGAACCCAGCAGGAACCCAGCAATACCCACATCCCAAGCCCTTCTGGAAAATCTGGCCCCCAGCGTGACACCACCACCACCCTCCCCATCCAGCACCTATATAACCAGGACCACCCACTCACCAACTACAACTGGTAGCACCTTCATAGCCTTCCTCTCACGGCCATTGATCTTGGCCTGTTTCTGTTTGTGTCCTGGGTGGGTGTACTTGAGGTGAGGGTAAGAGACAGTTTGAATGCCATTGTTCATCATGTACCCCTTGGGCAAAGAGCACTCAGAGTGGTTGTACATGTTGCGCTCCTCCAGCCTGATGTCCATGTGATTCCTCTCAAAGAGGGGTGATGGGCAGTATAACGTCCTGTTGCCTGCACACATGCTGCTCCGTAGCTTGGCCTTCCTAGCCTCCTCCCAGCGCTTGAGTCCCTGGAACATGGCACAGTAGAGAACCAGCATGACTGGGCAGGGGATGAAGAAGGAGCAGATAGAGGAGTAAATGATGTAATTGTTGTCCTCCAGGCGACATGAGGTGGGGTCTCGGTTGGGGACATTGTTGAGGCCAAAGATGACCGGTGAAGCCACGGCAAAAGCAAAGATCCACGTGGTGGAGATGAGAACGATCTGGCGCAGGTCTATTTGCCGCCGGTTATAGTTCAGTGGGATGGAGACAGCGATGAACCTATGACAGGTGAAACAGGGGTCAGATCCAGTGGCCTGCCTCTGTACCCACAGGGGAGCTGGTTGAACAGTCTTTTAGGGCCAGACCCCCTCTCACCCAGGCTGTGGGCAGCGTCACACTATCCATCCCCCAAGTATTTTAGAGATCATTGCACCCAGCTTCCATGAGAGAGATTCACTGCTGTCACCCTAACATGCTTCTGCCCAGTGGAACAGTCTCAAGTTGGCCATACCAGCATTAGCCCTGCAGGGTACCTACATGGTGTGCCTGTGTTAGCAGTCTGCACCATGGTCACTGCATCAACACTGTTACCGGTCATGAATCATCTTAATTTGCAGGAGACAAATCCAGGTCCTCTCCTCTGCCCGTGACTGGGTGTAAACCCTTTGGGGTAAGATCTGTTAGTCGATTGCCGTGTTGGGGATAGGGAAGGGAAACTGTCAGATACTCGTCTGGGTGATGGTCACTCCACCTTCTAAAGCAACTGCCCCCTCAGGTTTTCCCTGACTCACTCTCTGCCCTAATCTCCTTCTAGAAATGTATAATTTCTTCCAAGGCTACCCTTCCCTCAAACTGGCTGGCTATTTTAGACCAATGCATCTGTGCCAACAAAATGCCCTAAGAATAGATCACATACTGCTCCAATGTACTGGTTCCAGATTTGCCCCCCTGCTGAAAGACCTAACAAGGGAAGAGAGATGTTGCCCTTCCTTCACCCTAAAAATTGTGTAGGACCCCAACAAATTGCCTTTAATTTGCCTAGAGTACTATATTTACTCACATACTGCAGGCCCCCAGATAAGACAAGCACCTTGTTTTGGGAAGTCAGAATGAAGACAAAAAGATCTTTCCCTTTTAACCAAATTGTTCAGAATTCTCTTCCTTGTTTAAGATGTGCATGCCAATTTTTAATCACTAATTTTACTGAAAAAGGCCAGAGTGGTACATGAATAAATAAGGTAAGAGATCTCCCATTTTATTCCCAATCTGAGTTCCCACCACAGTAGTGCAATGCACTCCCATGGTCTACTTTGTACAAACACATGGCCCATGTGTTCCTTCCCTTCTTGGAATTGTGGTGTTCCTGGAGCTGCAGACTGGAGCATGAGGTGCTTCCTAATGAGGGACACTGCACACATGCGAGATGGATGCAGATTAGTCTTTATCATAAACCAGTCTCATATGAGCCCATTAAGCTCCTTTCTTCCTTGCTTAACATTCCAGAAAACTGCTGGCTCCTAACCCAGTTGATTCCATGAGGTAGATGATGTATGTTACATTTAAGGGATTACTGAAGACCTTGGCCATGGAATAGTTCCCAGTGTAGCTAATGAATGCATGGACAGAAATATTAATCCTCAAGTCTGTAGCCCTCTTACACTCTGGACATGCCATGGCTGGCTGACTGACTGAAATGCAAATCAAATGAGTGCTTGGGGCTTTAATTACTTTCTTTAGTGAGAGACTCATGTACTCCTGTTCCAAGGTGGTGGTTGAGCTGGCATCCTGGAACACTTGGAACTGCAAAGCAAAAAAGCCAACAGAGCTCTACAGAGCATCCTCTACTGATCTAGCGATGGCTACCCACCAGCTTCCTGTGCCTGGGTAATGAATTTCTCCTCCAAAATCTAACTCCGCCTCCTGGAAAGGGACATGGGCCTTGAGAACAAATAGCTTTTATGGGGCAGAAACAATGCTGTGTTCCAAATCACCACCTCAGCCTGCAAGAGTGGGTTCTGCTCAGCTTATTTGAAAGCAACAGGAGCCATAGAGGAAAACAGCAAGGAAAACTCTGAAACTGAAACACTAGGTGGGAGTAGGCTAGGAAAGCAGCTATGCTCACAGACCCTATACACAAATCATGCATCTGGCAGCTGCTTGATGGCCTAGGTAAAAATGTGGTTGATGGTCTCCGTCCATTTCATACTGGGCAGGTGTACAGAGCACACCTGTAAGCAGTCCTAGCACAGAGATCAAGACTGAGTGGGCTCAGAGGCTTAATGCTCCTCTTGCCCTTCTTCCTCTGAGCCAGGAATTAGAAGCCACAATTCTGGAGTCTAAGTGACCAAAGGGGTAATTCCAGATGTTTCATTTACTGAGACCCACCAAGGCCCAGATCTCATCAACCAAAGGGCTGGCTCCGCCTTCAGCGTCATAACATACGGCTATCACTCCTGTCCACTTCGATAAAAATGTTAGCTCAGAGAGAAGTGTGGCACACTGAGCATTAGGGCTTCAGGGGCAGAAAGGGCTCAGTTGCCACAGAAATGGAGGTCAGAGCAAGGGGAAAATGAGAGCTAATGGAGGAGGGACTTCCCTTGGGGGGCAATGGGTGCATAGCAGTGAGGAACATAGCCGCCCTGAGGTGGAGCTCACGGACGCAGACCTGGGAATGTCTCATCATCTGGGTGCTGAATTCCCATGGGAGGGTGGAGGTCATGAACCTGGGCATCAAGAGGACACTGGGGGGCAGGCAGAGGAGCAGTGGGGTGTGCTTACCGATCCACACTGATTGCACAGAGGTTGAAGATGGAGGCTGTGCACAGCATCACATCCATGGTCATCAGGGCGTCACACAGCACAGTGCTCAAGGACCACACTCCTCCCTGGAACTGAAGGCAGAAAAAGTCAATGCATGTTACTCTCTCACCCTGCACAGGCCCTGGAAGGGTCGTACATGTTATCTGGATTCTGCAATGGGCAGAGTGTGTGTATGTGTGGGGAGGGGAGGGCAGGGGGTATCCCAGAACTTTAAATGTAACTTCTTTGTTTTTCAATAACTGACTCCCACAGATGTTCACAAAATCTAGGATTGTCCTAGAATAAAAAAAGCCCTGAAGTCGAGTAATCCTGCTCAATCATCATTATAATCCCCTATGGAGATGACGTCCACACAGGTGGATTATTCACACCTTGTAGCTCATAGCTTTGTTATCCCTTAAGTTTCTAGCCCAACGGAAGGGTGAGGCCAGGGTAAGGTTGTATGACCCAGGAAACATATAACTCCATGGTTCTCAACCTTTTTAGACTCCAGGCACCCTGACAAAATGCCAGCTCTTTGTTTTCACTCAATTTTTGACTACATAAAGATAATAGAGCAATTCTTATGTTGCAAAGAAGATGGAAAACCCGCAACAGGTTGGCACGTTTTGAACACTGTGGATTCCTATGTGGAATCTCTGGGTTTAATCTTGAGAATCATGTTTGCATACCTAACATGGTGTAATACCCCACAACATCCTCAAAAGGATCTCAAGCCATCCCAGGGTACTATGGCACCATGGCCATGAATCACTGAAAGCTCAGCACATATAAACCCCAGCAGCAGTGAGATATAGCACAACACATCCAGTGCTGATAAGGTGGCAGCAGTAGGAGAATCATTTTTTCCATCCGCAACCTTAAACACTTAGAACTCATGCATGAGTGCAGCCAACCAGAAACCCTGCAGAGGTATTGGTTTAATTGATGGAACTGATTAAATCAGAGAAGTGTTCCTAGGTAACTTGCAGGTCCTGATCTCTCGCACATGTTTTCACTTGCTTCCATTAAAAACATCCCATTTGTAAGTAATTGCATAGGTAATTTCTTATTCATTATTAAACAGCTATTTCACTGTCATAGAGCATGAAAAGCAAAACTCTGGGGAGTATATCAAAGTAATTCTAGTTTAGGGAATATTATACCTCTTGGTGTAAAACACAGCCACCAGCCCTGGCACATGCAAAGCAAAGAGGCCATTAGCAATTTTTATTTCAGACTGTCCCCACATTTGGTTATAACTGATTAGATGGAGCTCCTTTTGCAGTGTCTATAACCCCACATAATGTAGCCACAATGGTTGGACTGTGAGTAGCAGAAAATGTTTATAGGAAATGGGTGTCTTTCAAAGGCTGCCATGTTACAAAGTGTAGGTAGGAATATTGTGTTTTCAGGGCCTTGAACAAGGTGGCATAGGATCACACTTAGGTGCTCAAATCCATTTGGGTGCATAACAGGTGGAATAGGATTTGTCCCCGAGCGTAATCCTGTTTCACCCACATCCACAAAACAACCGAGGTGCCTACACTTATTTGCCTCCATTCTGGCCTGACAAGATCCCTCACTGTCCAGACCTGGGCTACTGTACATGCTCAGAAGCAAGCTGGATTTAGTACCTAAATGTACAGCTCCCACCTCAGCTCTCTTATGAGCCAGTTCCACCTGGGAAGCACATACAAAGCTGAAAGGAAATGCAGAAGAAACTGAGAGCAAGCATGTTACAGCCAAGTCCTGTCTCCACCATAACTAGGAATCAAGCCATTTGAGCTCAATCCTTTCTAATGCACTGCCATAGCCATATGGGCTGTAGCAGCTGAGAAGGTAGCCACAATCCCAGGGTCTTGTCTGCACAGACAAGTCACCACTGTCTCTACACCAGTCTGATATGGCGTTTATGCACATACGCAGGAGTTTGGGGGTGGGAGGGGAGGCTCTAATTAGAGTGGCCCCAAGAGCCGCTCTAATTGAAGCACCCAGAGCATCTCATATCAGTGTCCCTGAGCTTAAAAATGGCAGTGGGGTTACTTTAACTAAAGCTCATTCGACAAGCTTTAAAGTCCCCCCACTGCTATTTTTAAGTGCTGGGATGCTGATAAATGAGACGCTAGAGTCTGCTGGAGTGCAGTAATTACCACGCTCTAGCAGACTCAACTTGGGGCTGGACCCGATGATCTTGCGAGGTCCCTTCCGGCCCTAATCTCTATGCAATCTAAGAGAGCCTGCTCTCACATGCTATCATTACAGCCTTGCTGCTCACGTATAGGCGCCCACAGAGGTGCTGCAGTTCACACCTCCCATTGCTGCAGTCTCTGAAGCACAGGATGGTGATGAGGCTTTTGGGCTCCCCTGAGCATGCTCCATAAGAGCAGAAAGAAGTTCCTCGGTGCAGGAAAACCTGGCATTTGGCACCAGAGGAAGGGTGAGCAGGCTGCAAAGTCCCCTCCCCATAGGTGTCACAGTGAAGGATGCATGTCTGAGGAAGAATTCCTCTTTGGACACAGAGGGGTGAAGGGGAAGCACAGGCCAAGCTACTCCAGCTAAAAGGTCCAGGTGCAAAGATTCAAAAGGATGTCCATACTGCAAGACTAGCAAGGAGCTGTCTGCCCCCTTCTGCAGAAAGCAACTCTCAATGGCTTCCCAGAGCTACCAGCTGCCCTTACATCCCTCTCTCAGCCAAACACTTGGAAAAATAGACTCCATGGTGCTTTGGTCTGATGAGGAGAAGAGCTGGAACTCAGCATTGTCAGTGCGCCGATGACACCACAACCCCCAAAAACCTACTCCCTCCCTCCAGTCACACACACACACACACACACACCCTCCCTCCAGTCACACACACACACACACACACACACACACACACAGAGAGAGAGAGAGAGAACAGCACCCCACTGGCAGAGAAATCACTCCCCCAAACTACCACAATCATTATGGTGATGGTGAGAGGCACCGGCTGAGACCAGAGCCCTGGTGTGGTAGGGACTATACAGATATGCTCCTGTCCCAGAAGCACATGGTTTAACTAGAGGAGACCGACCAAGGCAATAATCACTGTCTCTGTTTTTCAAGCAGGGAAGAAGTGAAGCAGAAAGGGATTCAATCCAGGGTCACACAGGAAGCCTGCGGCAGAGGTGGATGTTCAACCACGTCTAGCAGTTTCCTCACAAGGCATCCTTGTCTGGATGCTCTTGTGTGGAATGGCGCCTCTTTGGCATAACTCCATCTTCCACCAGCCAGGAGTCACAGATGAAGCAACAGTACCTCACAGTTCAGACTACAACCAAAGCTGCTCACTGATCTAAAAGAGCTGGTGTAGCCCCATCAGACCTTTGGGCATTGCTTGGGAGGAAACAAATAGGGAAAAATCAGTGCAGCTTTAGTGTCAAGCAAGGGCAGCCAGAGGACTCTGGGTGACACCAAGGCTGGTAGTCAGCCACAGCCTTCCCGATTCACAGCTGGGGGTGGCTTCAGACAGGCCTGTGTGTGGGAACACTGTTAGGAATAAGAGCTGTGCTGTAAGCCTGTCAGACCACTTCTCATGAGCGCAACACCACCACCTCATCTCCCACACAAGTACAACACAAACCGTGGGGCTGGAGAAGACTCAACGGTCTTTCACACCACTAGGCAGACTGAAAAATGGAGCATCATGAAGCTTCCTGCATCGGGTGGAATGAGAGACCTCTGTAGCTCCAGTTTAGCACTGCTAAATTTTACACTGGCTTTGTACACCAAGGTCAAAGTGACACCCGTGTTCAGAGCAAACAGGTGATCGGTAGGGCTATGCGAAATGACTGTGTTTCATTCGGTTTTGGATACAGCCGTTTTGGAGGATAGTGATTCGTTTCAAAATACTGTCCTGTTTTGTTTCTGCCAAATCTCCGAATCTGTTTCGAATGGACTGCAAGGGAAGCTTTGCACAGCCCTACCCAGCCAGGCGGGACTTAGGGCCCCAGTGGCTCATCCGGGGGAGCAGGAGGGCCGCTGCCTTCCATGCGGGTGAGGAGATCCCTGCACGAATCTCTGATCCCTGTCACACTGGGTCGCGGGGCAGGGAAGCAGCACAGAGTGGTGAGCAAGCCTGCTGGTTCCTGGTCACATGACTCAGCTCTGCAGGGAGCAAAGATCTGCGCCAGGGTCACCTCACCACTGCTGTCCACCCCGCGCTGCCTCAGCGATGTGGGGCTGTGCGGGCCGGGCAGTGGTGGCGAGGAGACCCTGGCACGGAGCTCTGCTCCCTGCAGAGTCAGGTTGCGCGGCAGGGCAGTGCTGCTCCCTCCTGTGCAACCTGGCTCTGCAGGGAGCAGAGACCTAGGGCTGCATAGAGCAGGCAACGGTGGCAAGGAGACCCTGGTACAGATCTCTGCTCCCTGCAGAGCCAGGTTGTGCGGCAGGGATTACCCAGCCCCCGGTTCAATTCCCCAGCTTCTGATCATCGCCCCGCAGCTTTCCCAGAGGGCGCAGGCCCCCAGGTCTGCATGCTGGGTTTCAGCAGGCTGTTACTGCAGGCTGGGGCCAGTGGCAGCACCACAATCTTCCTGGCACTTGGCGTGGGCTGCACCAACCAAATGACTGCCACTGGCCTCAACCTGCAGCAGCAGCCTGCTGAAACCCTGTGCAAGAGGGAAGAGCTGGGGAAATGACCAGAGAGCTGGGAGCTAGATGTCAATATCACAGCAGTCCTTTCCCCACTCTTTCCCCTCCCTCTTAGTTTGTTTCCTTGTAAGCCTGGCTCTGAAACTCCGAAATGTTTTGGAGCCTTCTGTTTCGATTTGCATTTGGTGTTTCGGGCACCAAAACACCTCGAAAACAAAACAGCTTCCGAAATTTCACACAGCCCTAGTGACCGTCTCTTTTGACATGGCTCAGGACGGAGGTGCTATTCCTGTGCCTCACCAATAGGTGGCAGAGAAGCTAACTATAAACTTAACACTGAGCAAGGGTCAAGCCCAGGGATGAAAATGAATAGAGCTGTAGACACACAACCCATACATCGCTGTAGCTTACACTGGTGTGTGGTTACTCCTGCCTTTCTGAGGGGCAATTCTGCTCTGGAATAGAGCAACCTATA